GCCTATTTCTCTTCCCCTGTATGTTAAAAGTATATTAAATGTTTGATTTCTGCATTTCCCAACATGTTGAGTCCTCCACAACACCTCTTCTCTGGGACAGGAGCTCAAGACAGCTGCAGTTGGCTGCTACTGCCCCAATTTATCCCAAGGAACAGCTGTTTGTTACCAGCACTTGCAAACGCTCCTCTTCCTGCCGTGACAGCGCTGGATCCGGCCGGCAGCCGAGGGAGTTCAGAAGCCCTGGCAGCAGGGACGGGAGAAGGAACAGCCGCGGTTCGGTGGCTGGGCCGGGCTGTGTCACACCGCGGATGTGTTGGGGTGTGCTCTCAGCACGGCAGGCAAGGCACCTCCGGTCCCGAGCTGTCTCAGCGCCAGGAGGAGGTGGTGTGGGATGCCGAGACAGTCTCTTGAATCTGGCACTGCTTCCTCTGCGTGCTGGAGAGGTAACTGTTCTTCCACACAGAACCAATGTCACCACCAGGCACTGACCGGCGGTTTACTAAAGGAAGAAGGTTTTAGAGCAGCTTTGCCCCTCGTGCAAAGCCTTTTCTAAGCACTTAAGACAAAGGAATTTGTCACCTTTCCAGACAGCAGGATGAGAAAACCCTCAGCTCCAGGGCAGCACATACTGCAAATGCTCTTTCCCCAACATAAATACATGGAATCCACCAAATCTTGCACAGAGCAAGACTTTTCACCCCTAAGTAACAAAGAGCATCCTGGGCTCCAAGCACCTGTTAAAAGCTCGTCTGAGTCTGTATCCCTAGGCAGATGTGTATTGCTTCTTTCACAGACAAGAGAGGTGGGACTGACAATTCACATCTCTCCTCCTTAGCAGCAGGTACAATGCCTGTAGTGCAAGACTCAGCATGCAGTTTTGTGCAGCTCTTCACTTGACTTATGGATGGACTGCAGCTAAACCTGGGGACAGGCACACTGCAGCTAGGAATTATCCAGCAGATATCTATCCTCAGGCTGCAAGACCCTCCCAAGGCAGTGACAGCTCATCAGAAAACTGTTACAGTATGATAGAACAGCTCCTTACTATAAACAGGCAAGTTCCAGGGAAAGCAACATATAATTATTGTAACATTACTCTTAAAACATCTAGCTTGGCTTCAAATATTTAAACCCCAGACAAACCAGTTTGCTGCTATAGAGTATTAGTTCCCTTAAAAAGGGGAGCGCCTTGCAATGCTACTAGAAGCTACAAATAACCCAGATTCCTTCTACCTCTGAAACCTTCTTAAAAATGGCAGAACCATCCAGCAGCAAATCACATTCAAAACATTTCCCCATTCTCCCCTCTGGGAAGCTTTTTATAGGGTCTTGTCCAATAGATGTTTTATCTGCAGATGAAGTGGTCTGAACTCTCCAGAATCTGAATTTATCTTGTCTGCTAAATGGGTAACAGACAGAGAGCTGTTTTTCAGAGGACAAGAGAAAAAGTTTTATGTACAGTCAGTACACAGATGTTCAGGTATGTGTTACCAGCAGCAGACATCCTGCAGCAGGGGCTCGATGACACCTCCTGGTCTCTGGAACACATCACACCGAGCAGCTTTTCCAAGGCTTCATTAGAAGCTGAAGAAAAGCTACCAAATTCGATCAGGAGTGGTTTATTTTAAATATATCCCACAGATATCCTTGCAAAAGGCATTCACTGCCCATTCCCTGCAACAGAATTACGAGTGTTCTCAGTGACAAAATAAACTTTTGTGTCTTTACAAAATGGAGTGTCCTGGAAAGGAGGTAGTCAAAAGGGAGCTCTGAATTCTATATTTGAATGAGACTTTTATTTACAGAAATTATCTGTGAGCATTTCTTTACAAGATACCTGTACCATTACCTAGCAGAGAACAATCAAGACTGATTTTAACAGTCTAGTTTAGCAATTCTCTCTCTTGCACCTGTGTTGCTCTGTGCTGATTTCACAGGAGGGAAAAAATAGCTGTAAAATTAAAATATCTTTCTAAGTTCCTGTCTGAATTTCTCTGCTATCCACACAATGGACTGGAGTTCAGTTTAAGCAAGTCAGTGCACAGAAAGACCAAATAACAAGGGGAGAAAAAGCACACAGTGAAAAGTCAGTTTAATGAAATCTTGTATGACAAATTATGGCAATTATCATAACTGGAATTCCTAAAACTAGAGAAGTTTATGGGGAAACATGGTAAAATTTTCAAATATGTAACATGTTTCTAGAAAGGAAATAAACCATTTTCTACACTCACTGGGAGAGCAAGAGGCCAGTTGAACTGCAGAATGGGACATGTTAGGAACAGTCATTTAATAGCAGGAATGCCCAAGCAATAGAATCGATTGATATCTCAGTGATTGGGAACTGGGAGAATCCATTACAAAGTTGAAGAGTTTTTTTAATTCCTGCAGGCTTCTAACAGTCTGGTCACCTCTCAGCTTGGTTCCAGTGGAGGATGGCTGAGGACTCATTTATTTAGATCATTCCCTGCCCTGTCTTCTCTGAAGCAGTGCATGATGCACTGGGAACTGGAAAACAGAAAAATGTTGTAATTACATATTTTCTTACCTTAATGTTTATATTTCCTGAGGGTGTAATCTTATATTTCATTTTATAGATAAGAGGTTTACTTCTGTTTTAAGTGACACCACCACCCTAGCAACATTTTCATAGACTCACAGAATATGCTGAGTTGGAAGGGACCCATCAGGATGACCAAGTCCAACTCCTGGTGCTGTGCAGGACACCCCAACAATCCCACCACGTGACTGAGAGAATTGTCCAAATGCTTCTTGAACTCAGACAGCCTTGATGCCATGGTCACTTCCCTGGGCAGCCTGTTCCAGTGCTCAGCCACGCTCTGGGTGAAAAATCTTTTCCTGAAATCCAACCTAAACATCCTCTGACTCAGCTCCAGCTGTTCCCTTGGGGCCTGTAACTGGTCACGAGAGTGATGAGATCGGTAACCTGCCTCCCCACTTCCCCTCAGGAGGATGCTGAGGACCCCAACGAAGCCTCCCCTCAGCCTCTTCCAGGCTGAACAAAACAAGCAACTCCTCATAAGGCTTCCCCTCCAGTCCCTTCACCATCCTCATTGCCCTCCTTTGGACAGTCTCTAAGGGCTCGATGTCTCCCTTACACTGTGGTGCCCAAACCTGCACAGTCCTCAAGGTGAGGCTGCCTCAGTGCAGAGCAGGACAATCCCCTCCCTGGACTGGTGGAAATGCTGTCTGTGCCCGATGTCCCCCAGGGAACAGCTAGCCCTCCTGGCCTCCAGGGCACACTGCTGACTCAGCACCAAATAGGCTCAATTTTATTACACTCTTCAGTATCTTTTTTCCCCTGGGAAAACCTGAAAGGCCGTGCCCATGTGGGTCAGCAGCCAGAACAGGCTACACAAGAATTGCCAACATCATCCATAAGTTAACAACACACCTCAGGGGAAAGAGAGCAGGAGTGTGGTCAAGGGGAAGATTGCTGCAAGGCAGCAGAGCTGGTCACCACCCTCTCCCTGCACAGCCACTGCCTGGGACAGGAAACACACAACACAGGGCTCGGGGGGTTTTGTTTGCTTGCTGGCACAGGTTTAACATTGTTCCCATGTACATCTGGATGACAGTCTTACATAGATCTTTAGAAACACATGGGCATTATCTGTTTTTGCCTGTCACTGGTTTACTAAGCCTTAAAGCAGAGCTAAGTCAGGGTTTTGCTTTGGCCTAACTACATCTTGCTGGGCAGGGCCTGAACTCAACTCACAGCCAATTCTGTCAGGGGTGCACAGTAACATTTCCCTCTTCACTCTAAACATTTATGCAAAGCTTCTAGCTAAAATGAGATCCGCATCAGTAAATAGTTGCTGATGTTTTTAGAATGCTGTAGGTGACTGTGTACCACCAAAGCCCATCAAAGCAAGCATGCTTATTTCATTTTTTTTGAATCTTCATGCACCATCAACTGCATTTTAGGTAAAACACCTCAAAGTGAGACTCAGCATAGACCCCATGAAGTCTGGGACCAGGAAACAATGCCTGTTTTCCCCACAAGTAGACCTGTTCACCAAGACACCTTATTAATTTTCTTTATGAACAACAACCAGCTGACAAGAAGCAGCTTTATGGTTCAAGGGTGTTTTAAAAGAGTAGTTTTAATCTGAGTACCTTAATAATGTAAAAAGATCCCAGATCCAAAACGCAGATCACTCACTTGAAAGTACAGAAGGCCCCCAGACCTTGTGATGCAGAAACAGTTGTGTGGTGGGTACTGAAGAACGTGCCACGCTCCTGTAAGAGCATGGCACGAGTACAGGGTGCAGCAACACATCTGTGCATTGTTAAAACCCCCCATAATTCTAAGGAGAAAAAAAAAAATGCAAGAAGGTATGAGCAGACAAATCCAAAGATATCACAGATGCAGTGGCACAGCTTTATCATTAGCCCTTTCACTTCCCAGAAAAGTAACCCAAGATGTTCCTTTCAACTGGCTATCAGGAAAAGCAAAGCACTCCCTGCTCCAACAGCATCAGTCTCCAATGATGGTTAACAACAAATAAAAGGGAAAAACTTGGGTTTGACTGCCAATGAAAAGTATGTTTCATTAAAACAGAGGCAATAAGGACTGTTTTGCTATTTGAATATTCAATTTCAAAGTTGATTTTGTGTTATAACCTGAGATTCCATTTTCAATTCATGCTACATTAAAAGAAAATGAAAGGGGAAGAAGCATTTAAGTGGTGCATTTTAGATCTCCTTAACCTACAGAAGAACAAGCATGCAAGTGAGAAATTATCTACCAGTAAACTATTTATAAAGGAAATAGAACAATTTGGGGAATTTATAATGAAAGTGACCTGGTCACTGTCATTGGTGACTACCAGCTTTGCTAGACAAGAACATTCTGTATGTTTTAATAACAAAATAAAACTCAACTTTCACACAAAAGACTCAACAGATTAAAAAAAAAAAAAAAAAAAACAAAACAAAAAAAAAAGAGTTATGGTTACAGTAGGAGTACTTCAGAATTACACACAGGAAAACACATTCTTGCTTTTATTTTGGTGGAACAGAATACAATAACCTTCAGCCCAAATTACTCAAGGCTGGCAGTATTACCTTTCTCTTCATGCTGCAAGACTGAACAGGGAAAAAGAAAACAGAACAGGGACAGGAAGGGTTAGAAGTTATATTTTCTATTTAAGGCCATTAATTCAGCAAGATATTTAAAAATGTCCTCAACTTTAAGCATGAAGATTGCATTGACTTCAGTAAGATTACTCACATGTAGTTAAGTCAGGCAAGTGCTTAAATGGCTTGTTGAATCAAGCCATTAAATGAGAGCTGCTTTGTTATACAATTTATTTTAATGGCTGGTGGAGCTCATTACATGAGCCTAATTTTATTCTTCCAAGGGCTAACAGCTATTTCCTCATCAGCTTTTCTGAAGGTGTAATCTGTATGCCTCCTAGACTTTACTGTAGCCACAGAAACATAATTTTCTAAGAAAAATTGTATGCAACATCTATTATTTATAGTGGCTTAGCTCTCCCTTAAATAGAACAGTACAAAACAATAGTTTCACTTTTTCAACACACAAGAGCATCTTATTGAAAAACTAAAATAAAAAAGTATCACCACAATATAAATCCCCAAATAATAACAATGAAATGGGAAGAAAGAAAGGAGTTAGCAAAACATCCTGTGGGCTTTAAAGTCTCTTATTACTGCATTAAAAAAGCTTTTCTGGTGAACCACAATGTTTTGTTTCTCTCCGTTTACAAACCCACTAGACAGGGAACAATGGTGTCCACAACCTATGTTGGGATTAAAAGGTAAAAACATAACCTGCCCCATCTGCAGTCCAAAAAGAGAAGAAACCCAAAAGGGCAGCCAGTGAGCATAGGAATTGGTGAAGACACAGTTTCCCTGCATAAGGGGGAGTAGAGGTTACAAAAGCAGAATTCAAGTTGGAACCGCATCGAAAAGTTCTATCTCGGAGGCCTGCAAGACACGAACTACTGAAGAAACAGTCAAAAGGTCCCAATGAAAAGCTGTGACAAGCTGTAATGTGCCATTTCAATTACAAGGAAGAGGGGAAATGCTTGGGGATGGCTGGGGGATTTTTTTGTTTTGTTCTGGGGTTGGGGTTTTTTGTGTTGTGTTTTTTTTGTTTTTGTTTTTTTGCTCATCAATATGATGAGCTTTCAACGTCCCAAACCACATTCAGGTAGTTTCCAAGTCTGCTTTTTTTTGTGTGGAATCTACTGATCCAGACCAAAAAATCAAACAAACAGAACAGGGATGCACAGTTCTTAAGTCCTGGAGCCTTCGACACTGCCTGAAATAATCGCTGGCCTGGGGTGCCCAGAGATGCCTGCAAGATGGTGTTCATAGCAGCCTTGCAAGCAGATTGGCTCACATCTGCTATGTGCTGCCAACGTTCTGCCCGTCACCTTCATCATTGGGACCTGAAACGATAAAAGTAATTCTTGGTCATAAGAAATATCTTTTGTTTCTCGCCTTACAAAAAGAGGCCCATCCCAAGCAGCCCACACAAGACTCAGATTCAGGTGTTCAGTAACAGATGAGAGCTGTAGAATTTCCCTGCCTTACATTTCCTTCTCCAGACTAAGGTCTGTCCACTGTGGAATGTTATGTTCTTCACTAATCTGATTCAGGGATCCCAGTAGCATCCCAGAGCCTAAAAGCTCAGCTTCCAACCTTTTCAATCCACCCACTGCTTTTGTTCATATTCATTCCTTCTTTTTACCTGCAGGGAATCAGGATAGAGGACTGGTCTCTGTCAAAGGCTGGATGTTCTAAGGCACAGGAAAGCAAAGCACAGATGACTTCCAAGTCAAGGGTACAAAAAGAAGCTTTCCTCAAACTGAAGATTAGTGCTTATTTTTAAGTATGGTCTCCTCATGTACAATAAAAATCATTACACTCTTTCCATGCCCCTTTGTAAACCTTCTGCTTTCCAAACAGCTCTCTACTCAAAGGTCAGTTTGGATCCTGCCTGCTGATCCCAAGTCATCTCAGGTTTTATGTGCAAACCCTGGCCATGGTGAAGGCAAAAATGAAACTCACAACCACCCCTTAGAAATCCTGTAAAGGAAACAAAGCACAGAAAACTTCAGCTAAACTGTGGCATATAACTCAGAGAGACCCAGCACAGGGGTCTTTTGCCAGTTTGGAGAAGAAGCAAGAAGCAACTTTATTCAAAAAGCCAATTCGTGCCATAGTCCTACTCCACAGGTCCCTGTGAGAATAACAGGCCAGAAGTACATCTATCATGTACAGGGAGCACGGTCTGCTTTAAGGAACGACACAGAAAAATGCATGGAAAACAGGAAACACTTGTCTTTCTTACTTACCACTTCCAACTGATCCTGAAGGTGCAATGACATCATCATCACTGTCTTCCTCATTTGACTGTGTTACCTCTGGCTCAGGTGCTACATTCTTAACTTCTTGCTCTTGTTCCACTCTACTCCGCAAGGCCAAGATGCGATGGTGCAAAGCAGCAAACAACTGCCCTGTATCTTTAGAGCTCGCCTGCATTTTTTAACAGTCAGAAACAAGAAGGTGCAAGGAGTTAAAATAAAACACTGCCAACGTAATACACACCAGTCAAGCCAAATTTCACAGTATAGTTTTCAGTTTTCTCATCCAGGGTTTTTCAAACCAGTCAGAATGGGCTGTGATACACACAACAGGACACTAGACATACTGAACTCTGGTGGTGAAGAGTATATTCTTCTGCTCAGCTCCAACTTCCCCTGGCTAAAATACCCCATACTAGCTGATTCCTTATAACTTTCTTCACCCAGAAACCACACAGCTTTTCTAACACCTCCCAAAAGCTTATATTAAAAAGATCTTCAATGAAAATCTTGCAGATTTTTCCAGGTCTGTCAAGCATTCAACTTCATACAGTAGTTTGTCATAATCAAGTCAGTTAATTGTTTCATGATGCACTGACATAAAATTTCAACATAAGATATAATGAGAAAACTGAACCAAACAGTCAGGTAGGCTGATTTTTTTTTTTTCACTCTGTTTCAAAGGGAAGCATTTGTGGACACCTGTCCAAGAATATGTTTTTCTTACTCTCAGACGTTAATGGGCACTTTATGCCTTCAATACAATCAATTATTAGGCCTGTTAAAATTGTTTCTATCCTCCCCATCCGTCACCTCTGTATCTGTGAAATTCCCGTGCAATGAGCTGTAATGAATAAATAATTCCAAGCAAGATACTTTTTATCAATACTAAAATCAAGAGTAAATAACCTGATGACAGATTTAACTCAAGCTTTCAAATCTAGAAGAATATTGAGAAAAACGTATCCAGTAATTTCACTGCTTCCTCATCAAGGGATATTTGGTATCATTAAGTTCTACTCTGGGACTCCAGATCCCAGTCCTACAAACCTAATGTTTCTGGGGAAGCTGACCGCTTGTTGCTGTTCTCTTAATTTCTGATCCCTAGGAATACTAATTCTTTTGCAACTCCTTGTTGCAAAAGTGTAAATCAAAAGAACATATTCAGACCTCTCCAAATCTGCAAGTGCTCTTAGCAGATGTTAAGCAATAACCTCTTCCGTGCTTACTGTATGATGAGCTCTCAAGTGTTTCAGTAATTGTGAATGGCATTGCTGTTCTCCATTTAGCAAGCACAGCAATCCCTTTCACTATCCTGTTACTGCTTTGAATACTCCGTATCGAAAGAAAATCAAAGTTAAAATATGTTACCCTTAACTACTAACACAATGTTCTTGACAGAGCTTTAGTGGTTCCCTTTCAGTAAGCACCTATCCATCCTCCCACACTGTGACAGCACTTCTGTACCCCAAGTTCCAGCAGATCTAATTTTGTTTAACTATTGCATAGAAATCTATGAAATAACACCCATTTTCCTTAATAGCAAAACCCAATCTGCATTAAACACTACAGTCACAGCCTCAGCAGGGATGGAACAGATCCTGTGACTCCATGGGCAATGCTTTGGACGACGTGGTTTCCTAAAGAAGCCACGGATGTGGCATTTCTTCACAATTAGCAAGCCTTTTTGGACAAGCAAACCTGCCAAGCCCCTTGGCTTTGGGGTAGGGGTGATATTAAGGTAGTGTAGGGTGCAAAGAAAAACACAAATGTTACCTCAACTACAGTTTAAGCAAGTACCTACTTTAGTAGGAAGGTTAAGATGTAAACAAAAACTGGTACTCACTGATATAAGAAAAACTTTAACTCCTTGGTCCTCTGTATCCATGGCAGTGATCCGGATACTCTTCTCACTGGCTTTATCAATCTGCATCTGAGCCCAGAGCTTGGTATTTAAGATTAACCTGAGACTCCCCTGAGTCCTCATCACTAAAGCAAAGTTACAAGATCAGTTAGGTGGAAAAAGACGCATCAGGAAGCTCAAAACAGCCAAGACAGCTTTTTGTTGTGTAAAGGTTTCAGTCGCTTTACAAAGAATATAAAGGGAAAGTCCTTTTGGGGTTTTTGTTATATCTATTAGTAAGAATGTAGGTTTATGCTGGCTTGGGCTGGAATAGGGTTCACTTTCTTCCCAGTGGCTGGTATGGGTCTGTGTTTTGGATTTGTGCTCAACACAGGGTTGATGTTTTGTTACTGCTGAGCAATGTTTGCCAAGGCCTATTCTGCTTTTCCTGCTGCCATGCTGTGGAGGGGACTGGGAGATGCACAGGAATTTGGGAGGAGACACAGCCTGGACAGGTGACTGAGACTGACCAAAGGGATATTCCAGACCATATGATATCACACTCAGTATATAAAATGGGGGGAAGAAGAGAAAGCAGAGGAATGTTTGGTGATGGTGTTTGTCTTCCCAAGTTATCATTATGCAGAATGGGGCCCTGCTCTCCTGAACATGGTTGAACACCTGTCTGCCCATGGGAAGCAGTGAATTAATTTCTTGGTTTGCTTTGCTTGCATGCACAGCTTTTGCTTTCTCTATGAAACTGTCTTTATCTCAATCCACAAGTTTTCTTTTACCCTTCCAATTCTCTCCGATTCTGCTGGTGGGGGAGTGAGCGAGCAGCTGCCTGGGGGCTGCCTGGGGTTAAACCACAACAAGGCTATTAAAGATTATCAGTCATGTCTAAAGATATTTAGTCCAAAGTCTTACTTGTTAGTACAGCAAAGTTCGGTGCCTGTATCTGAGCTGATAATCTCAGGCTAATGCACATTCCCATTAGCCTGAACAGTCGTGCACTATTCAAAGAGACTTCCCCCATCACAGGCAACCCCTCCCAAAGGGCCCAGATCTGAACAATGTTACCACCAATTTCTAGTCAAATATTCGAGTTACTAAATACATCTTGCTTTTACGATGAAAAAAGTAACTGGAACATTTGCTGCAATAGAAGGACATGGAAAGATACTCTCTTTGGAGGCAACGTTCATTAACTGCAGCAAAGGAAAAGGTCCAAACTCCTTCTGAGTTGCTGTAGCTAAGATGACCTAAAGTGGATGTTGCTGAGTGTTATGGAAGCACACTATGAAAATAGCACGACTGTCATCCAGTATCTCATTTCCCCTGGTTCCTCTTACCCAGTCGAGACTGTAACGTTCCATCATCTGTTGAGGCCATATCATTGAGTCTCAGGAGTCCTCGACCTCTTTCCACCCAAGACTGAGAGCTTTTATCAAATACAAACAGCTTGCACTGAATCTGTAACAGAAAATATCTCTATAGCATAGTGGTTGATGGAAGTAATACATTTCTTAGTAATCTGCAATTTCATATTGGAACTTCTAATTGTTCATCGCTGTGTAAACCAAAGCAGTTATCCCCTCTTTTTCAATAAGTTCCCCAAAATATACTGTCTGCTTTCATAAGATTTTATTAACAGAAGCTATATATTCTTAAAGAATACCTGGGTTCAAGATCACAAGAATAAGAACAATTTTCACAGAGAGAAAGATGTGATAAGAGACTGCCTTAAATCAGTCAGTTCTTTTAAAAGCCTTAGGTACACCTTGCACCACTGGAAGTGGTCTTTGTTGCTGGAAAGACCCAGCACAGTGAAAACAAAGCAAAATTTTTCCTGTATTCAGGAAAAAAAGGATGAAGAAACATGTTAGCTCATGATCAATTCATAAAGCCTGACCCACACGAAGTCATGAATAATTGAAGTATTTCTACTACCTCCCTGCAGGGTTCATTAGTTAGAAAATTCAAAAGGTCTATCTTTTCAAATGGTAGGACTGCTCCTTCTTCCACACAGGCTCCATTTTTCTTCCCTGCCAAACATGTCTACTCTGTATCCTCACCTCTAACCTATCATCACTGTCACTGCTGAGATTTCATACCTCAAACTGTCACCCCTCAAGTTCCCCACAGGTGCATGCACTAGGTGGAAAAGATATTCCCATTTTCATTCCCTCCATTTCTTATTTGCTCCACCCCAGAACATCTAGCTCTGCGTACTCCGTTTCTGCAACATTAACACAGTTTTGTACATACAAGTCCCATTTGGAATTCTAATGCACTACATTTCACAGGAAAAAAGAACAAAAGTTTGGCAAGGTCTGTTAAGTTACAACATTCATGCAACTCAGTCCTCTATCAAGTATACAGCTGCTAAAAGCTGTGGTTTTCCTAAGTGAAACAGGAGTCTCATCTCTTCAGTGTCTTGTTCAATTATGTGAAGCATCCAGATATTTCTGAATTACACAGAAGCAAAAGTACCAGAAGAACTACTTAGAGAGCATTTATGTCTGGTAAAAAGAAGTCAAAGAAGACTAACATTATAGATTATCATTTTTTGTAAGATAAAACAAGTGTAACTGATACGCATTAGTTACTGACACAGTGCAAC